ACATTCTGAAGTTAGACGCTGACCTGAAACGTCCCGATATAACAAAGGACAAGGCACAGCGATGGTACGAATTCCTGGTTATGCACGTGTTCTGTAAGAACATAGGGAATAACGACCGTGAGAGTCTGTACATCGAGTTGCGACGTAAACACGCGACTGAGGCTCGAGACAAGGGACATGAAACAAAGTTTCATCTAGCCCGACTTACATGGGAACAGTTTTATGATTTATGATACTGTATCCACTCTTTTTCCCCACATCGAGTAACATCGAAGGGTAAAGCGGCTGTTAAGAAGCCGCAGGAGCTCACCGATCACGGGTACGTATCCAGGTAGACCTCAAACGAGAGACCCCAAAATACACGTACTCGCGAATCCACTTTAACCACGCGACCCAATACACGGGCACGCGCAGGAGCGAAGGACATGGAACCTCCATTTAAGGAGATCAAGAAATGTGCCGACGCCCAGTGTGGGTATGACATGTACCAGTTAACCCCTAACGGTTATTGGAATGATACACATATAACTATATTTACTTTCCAAATTTATTTATATCTGAATACTTCGGTAGCGAGTTGGCTCAACCGAATATAGGTTTCTAGGGACTATTAACGCTACCTGGTTTATCCTCCGTTCAGCCAACCAGATGTGCCAGTCTGATGAAGGCTAAGTCGGTAATTCTTTATAAGTGGCAAGTTATTGGTTAATGCAATAACTAAGGACATCAAGAGTTATTTTTCTTTTTTCTTTCTTCTTTTTTTCTAAAGATTGTATTTTATTAGTCTCTCAGATTCGCCCCAACGAAACATACCCTAGTTTCTAATAGAGCGACAACGAAACAGTAAATAAATCCCTTCGGCGAAAACAGTACTGAGAGGATTAAATATAGACAATGTCTCAGCCTCACAATCCCTCATAGTATTGCTGTGTTCGCGAGGCAAACCTAACTTTACCAAAAGACTCATTTCGTTTATTTACTTTGAATTTCACGATACTTAGATTTTACCTACGCGTTTAATTACTCTAAGGCGTTAATATCGCCTTGATAGACCGAATCTTACAGATCCAGGTCGGCCGACGATTCTACTTCACAATTGTCGTCGTCACGCTCGGATGGCTGTTCTTTGTTAGAATGATCGTCGTTGCCACGCTCGGATGAAGGCTGTTCTTTATTAGAACCATTGTCATCGTGTCGTTGTTCTGTATTCGTCTGTCGTGGCCTTTCACTATCATCTCCGCTTTCCTCTTCACTTTGTTCCCCCACTACTTCCCCTGCTTCTGATTCGGCACCTTGAATGTGATCTTGAATGTGATCTTCAGTGCGATCATGAATGTGATCTTGAGTGTGATCTTGAATGTGATCTTGAGTGCGATCTTGAATGTGATCTTCTTGAATGTGATCTTCTTGAATGTGATCTTGAATGATAATATTTGAACTATGCTCACTAATGTGTGAATTCAAATAGTGTGTGGTGGAAGAGTCAACACACATCCTATTTTTACGATTCTCTGTATCAATGTGCTCAGTATCTAGTGATCGAACCGTGTTCGCATGTGCATGCATAGTAGCTTCCGGCATTTCGAACCTTGAATTAGGCTGGATGAACGGTGGTGGTTGACGTTGATTGATAACTGAGGGAGGCGCGCCATTATATCTTTGTTGACAATACGAGGATCCTAAATAGTCAGGAAAACGTTATACGCTTTAGGGCTTGGGCGTTTACCTCACGGCATTGATTTGAAGGCATGCCTCATGTTTACGAAATAATTTTTTTAAATACACATTGTGATTGCATTCTTATATTAAAAAAAAATTAATACCGACCGTTTTTGGAATTGTTTTTCTTGTTTTTTTTCTATACCCCCTGAGTTTATGAGTATTTACATAAATAGTACATAGTAACATATTGATAAATATTTATAAATAGTCTCGCAAGTTCTATAGTCTTAAAAAAAAATCTCACAGAGAAGAAAAACGAAGAATTTGTATAATATTGTATGTATTTTTTTTGTATGTATCCATAATTGCATACAAACAAAATAAGGCTGGGGTTTATAGTGAGCCGGCGAGGTCAGAGGTGGTAGGGATCGTAGCCTTCGTAGGACGTGGGATCGTAGCCCCCCCTTCGGGGACCGTAGTTTAATTTACATCCTTCGAGGTCTAAGAAGGGACCGTACATCCCCCTTCGGTGGATAGTATAGGGCATTTTCTCTAGAGTAGGCTACACACATACAGTATATTTTTTTAAATGCAATATCACTCCATACTCCATAGCCTTCTAAATAAATTGAAAAAATCCCTTTTTTTTTTTTAAACAACCAAAACAACATGTATATAAATCAAAATAGTTATTTACTGTCTCGGCCTCTCAGTCTCTCAGCCTCTACCTCTCGCAAAGGCGCTCAGGGCCTCAGGCCCTCCTCAGCCTCTCAACTCTCAAGTCTCAGGCACAAACCTCCGGCCTCAGGGCTCAGTCGCTCAGGCGATCTAACGGAATGCAAATTGCAAAGTGACAATTCTCCGCGGAGGCCGGGAGGGCGGAGGACGTCGCCGCTCATGACTCATGAATCATCCAAATGCACATGGCCAACTGGTCATCTCCGGTTCTACCAGCCCGGTCCTGATATAAAGAGGGCAGGTCCGGATGCCTATCTATACTATTCCTCATGAGTCCTATACTTTTCGGCATCTATCCTCCTGTCCTATTAGCCCGTCCTACCAGAGGGAGGGCAGGGTCACACAGCCTATTCTATACTACATAGAGCCTAAAAATCTAAGGGACAGATACATCCAGGGAAGTAGCATTGTTGCTGTTGTTACGCACCATGGTGGCAATCGGGAAACTGTACCTTCCCGTGGATAAAACTAGACGGTTTTGGGCGCGCCACTTTTGTCGTGTGCGCCAACGAGATAGCACGGGATCATCATCCGCTGTATAATTAGCAAAGGTCGTTGCTCGCGGTCACGCAGTGTCTGACTTTCTCGCTGTGTTACACTGTGACCGATATGAGCTCAATAAAGTTAGGCTCCCACTACAGGTCATAACTTTAGGCATATTAGTGGTTTTAGTCATAACTCATAAGTTAAAATTGACGATTGTTAGTCATAGTTTTTAGTCAGCAGATATTTAGACTTGTGTGAGTACTGAGTTTAGAGCTTAGACTAATAGTGTAAAGTGTAGAGTGAGCTTAATGTAGACTATATATTTGTGTTGAGATTAGACATTGGAGATTAAAGTTAAGTTTAGACTGACTTTAGAGTGATTGTAAAGTGTAAATACTTAAGAGTTTAGACTGACTTTAGAATAACTGTAAAGTGTAATACTTAAAGAGTTTAGACTGACTTTAGAGTGACTGTAAAGTGTTAATATGTAAAGTGTAGGAGTGCTGCAGACTGTAGCCTGCTGTAGACACACACACACTCTCTCTCTCTCTCTCTCTCTCTAGTAGAGAGAGTAGAGAGGAGCTAGACTGCTACTACTAGCTCGAGCGAGAGAGAGTCAGACACACACACACACACACACACGCAGAGACCCAGTCACAGCAACACAGCCTCGCCGCCCTGGCGCATTCACTGCACAGGCAGAGGGGCCACCGAGGGTCAGACTCAGAGGGCAGCTACAGTCATGACTCCATGAGTCACGGAGTCACAAATACACAATATGTACTGAATACATATGTAATTAAAAAGCAATAGTATACACACATTAGAACATTACACAGTGTACTCAATGGTGGTCTGATTCGTCATATTTTAAACCAACATTACTAGCTATATGATTCGTGCGATTTAATTTATCTTTAGCAAAAGAATGCAAACAAATTCTAAACAATCCGAGAGAATCCGAGATCAGTCAACGATGCATCTTTTTTGTTAACATATTCTCAACTCTCAAGTCTACTGTAAAGATATGCGAGGTCGACGAAATACATGATCATTCATATGCCATATCTTGTTCTGACTCACGTTCCTAGTGTTCGTATGACCACGAGACACAAGTGATTATACGTATAACGGTATAAGGACCCTTAGGCATCATGGCGTACAATGGCGAGAGTCGCATGTCATTCCACGGCGATGGCGCCTCTATTGCAAACATCCAGGGTGGCCCAAGCAGTCCTTCCAACGTCGATGGGAAAGCCGTAGTATTTCAAGATGACATGGTGATGGGGCCAAATGAAGGGTCCTTCTGGGTGAAAGTTAGACATGGAACACCTACACTATGTATCCCCATATTCATCATGTCATTTGCGGAGAAGATGGTGACCATCTCTATGTCCGCCACCTCGTATCTCTGTAAGTCTAAGCTGTTTACCTTTTCATAAGCTTCTTGATATGATTTGCTTTTCACTCTACCATATCGATGACTTCTCATATCTTACTTTTCCTAAAGTTCTGAATTTGGTGCTATAACCACACGCACTTTGAGCACAACGGACGTATATCTCGCACAGGCGTAGGAAAGAGGTTTAACACTATTAAGTACTTGACTGGATTACAGATAAGTAATATATA